TGGCACCGCCGCGGGCTGCGAGGCTGGTGTCACCCCCTGGGAGCTTGTCCCCTCCTGCACCCCGGCTCCTGCCACCCGGCAGCCCCTGGGGCAGCCTGGCACCAGCGGGGACCTGGGCACGTGCACCTTGGAAAGGGGTAAGGCTGTTGAGAATGTGCAGCAATCCGGGTGTTTTTAAATCTGCCAGGAAAGGTGTGCGACGGATGAACGCACGGACTCTGACAGAGGGTCAGCCAGAGACCTTTCATTGCTCCAATACACTTGCTTATATACACTTCGCACAGATACACGCGCCATAAACAAAAGCCTAATTGGTTAGTATACGCTGTCCACGCGCCCTGCTAATTAGCATGATTGGTTAATTCTTTTCTGCTAACTTCCTTGCTTACTTTCAGGCGGTACGGTTCTCATTCTTGCCTTACCCTACGTCGGCTTTTTTTTTTTCTTCTTTATCTTGTTTTACTTGCTTCAGAGGTACAGGCTCCTATCTTGAAGGTCAAACCCTGAGAAATCATCGAAACCTGTGTCTCTCCATCCTCCTACAAAGGTATAATGAAGCCCAACAAGCACAAGCTGAGCCTTAATTAGAGCAGGTGAAAACTGAAGAAGAAATGTTTAAATGCAGTTAGTGCAATTATCTGTTGGGAAGTGATGGGTGCCTTGTTGTTTTAAGTCTTTGCATCAAACAGGGTGTTTCTTCCTACAAGATGCCCTGCACCAGCCAGGAGCCCTGGGTGTCGCTGCAGGAGGGTCTTTAGCTTGTGCTAGGGTGGAGGGGAGCACGCTGCTCAGCCCCAGCCCTATGGCCGGCAAGATACGGAGCTGTGGGGTTGAGCCCTGAGACTGGGTGTCAGCATATCTGTTTGGCCATAAATGTTATCCCTGTTATAAGCTTAATCAAATGGCTTCAGAGCAGCACCTTTAGCTACATAAGCCAATTCCTGAGGAAGGAAACATCTGGATATTTTCAATAGGAAAAGCTTTAAATAGGAAAAGTTCTCTCTGTTCTGTTGGTGGGGGTGGTGCCTGTGAAGCTAGTGGGTTACGCTGGTGAAGATATGGGACTGCAGAGGCCATTGGCTACAAAACAGCCTGGGCTGGAGCTCTTCAGATTTCCCTGGATGTGACTAGTCAAGTGGTGCGAGCAGATAACGCCTGGGGAGTACGTGCCTGCATCCTCTCCAAAGGGGTTCCGTGACGGCCGCCCACACTGGGGTCGCAGCTCTGCTGCCTGCTCCCCAGCTGTCCCTTATCTCCCCACCCAGACCTGTGCCCTGACCTCACGTGAAGCCAAGCCCTGTGCCTGGGCTGAGGATAAAGAGCCGGACAGGTGATGGGACCCCACTGTGGTGGCCTCACTCCTCGCCCAGCACAGCTGGCTCCGGTGGCTGGACTCGTTCACAAGTGCTCCGCCAAGTAAGTGGTTCAAAATGCCTTTTTTGCTCTTTAAAATGTGCAGCGAGGGGTAGCTCTGGGGGCTGTTGATCGTTTCCTTGCAGCAAGGAGCAGGAGAGGCTGAGGTGTCATGAGCTGGGGCCATCCCTCCACGTCCCTGTGCCGCTGGAGGGTGGGACCGCACTGAGGTCCACTGTGGCCAGACAGGGTGAAGGAGGGTTTGAAAGATCTTTGCACTTCAAAACTGTTTGTTTTCATCCCCATGTGCTCGGTGCAACCTTTCCCATCTGTGCATTTGACCCATTGCACTGCCCTTGCTGCTGAAGTGAAGCACCCACCCCCCTGGCTCTCACTTCTGAGTCTCCCTGGGGAGAGGATGGGCAGGGATCAGCAGTGTTTTCTGCCTGGGGGAACCCTGCGGGGCAGCTGGCATGTACCTCACCTCCCACCAGCTTCTCTTCAAACCCAGTGGCTCCCAGCCTTCTGTATTTGCTGACCTCTTGAGATTTTTCAGAAAATAACTTCTCATAGCAAATTTACTCTCCCAGCAGTTGGGGTTTTTTTTTGCATGGTCAGCTTTGACGGACACCCAAGAAGCAACCCTTTCCCCTGCTCCCACCCAGGGCTGTGAATCACATGCTGGAAACTATTGTCCTGGTACGATGCTCAGGGCTGTTAAACTCTAGCTAATGTGTTAGCTGGGTGTTTCCAGAGGACTCGATGGAAGTGCTGGGCCTTACGTGGCTGCTGGTGGATGTGTCAGGGACTTCACCTCCTAACTGCAGGTTGCAGCACTTAAATGTTAGGTGTTAAACAGTTAATCTGTGAACATCTCATAGTCTTTTAATGAGCCTCACCCTAAAGCTTGGCTGCTGCTTGTAAGTCAACCTTTTCTATCTGACAAAGCTGCATAACCAAGGCCAAAATATGATGTGATCAGCAAGAATCCCAGGAAGGAGATGTTTAGAAGCAATGTTTTAAACAACCTCCTGAACTGAGAGAAATACAGATGAAACAGCAAGTCCATCCAGCACAGTGTGGAAATTCTGAACAAATAAGGTCACCTGGTCTTGGCTGGCTCCTGGGACCCTTGCTGATCCCTCATTAGCAGGCACAGGGCTGATTGCTTCTGTTGTTGCATGAATGGGCTACTGCCCTGCTGAGTAACTGGACCCACTGGGGCAGCACTAATGGGAAGCAGCACTTTGCCTTCTTCAGCCAGATGGATGCCAAGCCTACAGCCCAAATGTGGGAGAAGGGGGGCTAGAGAACAGAATGTCCAGCCCTTGTCCCTCCTCACCTCAGTACCAAGCCGTGAGCTGGCTCTCTCTCCCTTCCTCTCCATCCCTCGGTATCAATGGCAGCGAACTCTTGTAACTGCAGCCTGTGTTGGCTTGTACAGTCTGTCTCATAAAATGAGTTATCTGAACAGGAGAGTCCTGAGGGCTGAATTAAGCCTGGTGCCACAGTTTGTGAACTGTGGACAGGTATTTTTTGTTCTTCATAACTGATTTTTGAAACCCTTTTTTTCAGGACAATGTACGAGCATTTCCTTTTCCTTTTCTTCCTTTCCTTCCATCCCCATAAATGCCAGGATCAAAGCCTGGGTGAAGATCCATATGAAATGCCCAAAGACTACCAGGAGGTCTACAGAGGGACAAAAAATGACATCAAAGAGATCCCAAAGATTGCAAAGCCCTTTATTTCTGAGATGATCTTTGTGCAAACCAGCATCACGGTTATAAGGAAAGGTTCCTTCAGGTACATGCCCAACCTGATCAAGATTTTGTTTATTGGCAACAAGATCAAGACAGTTGAACCTGGAGCCTTTGATAGTTTGGAGAAGCTGAGGGACTTGGAGATTTCTGGTGCCTCATTAGAAGAACTAGCTGTGGGCACTTTCCAAAACCTTCCAAGCTTGCAGAGGCTGGAGCTGAAAGACAGCCACCTCAGACATATCCCCAAAGGGCTGTTTGATGGGCTAGAGAATTTGGAAGAGCTCTCCCTGCACATCAATGCCATCCCTTCTCTTCCAGAAGGTGTTTTTGATTCTCTCATCAATTTAACATTTCTGGACCTGTCTAGAAACAGGATCACAGCTCTTCCTGGGGATGTCTTTAGCAAACTCCCCCATCTGCAAGTCCTCCGATTGTATGAGAATGAGCTGCAGGACCTCCCAGAGGGGCTGCTAGATGGTCAGCCGGGGCTGGTGGAGCTCAGTCTCCAGAGGAACATGCTCAGAGCACTGCCACCCACACTCCTGAGGAGCCTGCCTCACCTGGAGAAACTCCTCTTGGACAACAACCTCATTGGGGCTCTCCCACTCCAGGGATTTTTTGGTTTAAACAAATTGAAGTTGCTGACTCTGGATTCAAACCACATTACGGAGCTCCCCTGCTGCCTTTTTGACACCATGCCACACCTGCGGGAGCTGGACCTGGGCAGAAACAGTTTGGCTACACTTCCAGACAGCATCTTTGTCAACCTCACATCTCTCAGCAAACTGACCTTGTCCCACAACCAGCTAGCAGCCCTACCAAGAGGAGCCTTCACGGGGCTCAGCAAGCTCTCAGACCTCCAGCTAGACACAAATCAGCTCTCTGCTCTGGACGATGAGGTCTTTGCTTCTCTCCCAAATCTGAAAACCCTCAACCTTCGGAAGAACCAGCTGGAGAGTGTCCCCCAAGGGCTCCTGGAACCCCTGACAAAGCTCAGTTCAGTGTATCTGGGTGGGAACCCATGGAGATGTGACTGCAACCTCTGCTACCTGTACAGCTGGATTCTGAGCAACAGTGAGAAGGTTAAATTGTCCACCCAAGTGTCATGCAAGAGTCCACCCCACCTGGCAGGGCAAACAGTGACATCGCTGAGGGGCGACCACTTAATTTGCCCAGCTACTCCTCTTGTTTCAGCTTCCTTTACCCCATCTCTGCCATTTACCTCCTCATCACCACAAGGGATGTCAACCTTGCTGTCACCTGGTACCTTGCCCACTGCAGCACCGACCACACTGTCATTGGCAGACTTTCCCATCATGGCACTGCCAACCATGCTGCCGCCTATGACTACCTCGGCCATGTTGCCAACCATGCTAGCGGAGGCTTTTGTCACTGGTCCATCACCAACCATGCCATCTAAGGCCCTCATCACCACTCCATCACCAACAGTGCTGCGCAAGACCTCCATCACCACCCCATCACCAATTGTGCTGCCCAAGACCTCCATTATCACCCCAACATCAACCATGCTGCCCAAGGCTTCCATCAACACACCATCAGCAACCATGCTGCCTGAGGCCTCCACTGCCACCCTATCATCAACTGTGCTGCCAAAGGCGTCCATCACCACACCATCATCAACTGTGCTGCCCAAGGCTTCCATCACCACACCATCATCAATCGTGCTGCCTGAGACCTCCATCGCCACCCTGTCACCAGCTGTGCTGCCAAAGGCCCCCATCACCACACTATCACCAGCTATGCTGCCCAAGACCTCCACCAAGACACCAACAGTGCCACAGGAGGCCTTCATCAGCCTGTATGCAACTCCAGCCATCGTAAGCCTAGATCCTTCTGGGGCCAGCAGCCCAGAGCCTGCTCCGCTTTAGCTTCTGCCCCCCCACCGGTGCCAACCAGTACACCGGCAGCCACCACCAAGCGAGTGCCTCCTGCTCTTCTGGCACCCACGGAGAGGCCAGGCGCTGTCCTGTGGGGGACACCCAGCATCTCCCTTGTCTCAGGCCCCCCTACGGCACTCTGGCCGCCCTACAGGACTGATGCACCAGGCATGGTCCCGCTGGCCTCGCACTCCCCATCCCACCATGCTCCTGCACCAGGCAGGGAGCGGGACCGTGCCACTGCATGGAGCTTGTCCGCGGTCGGCACCCAGTCGGTTCCCACTGTCCCCCAACATGTTCCCATCCCTGCAGGCACCATCCCACCCCTGATGCCTCCTGCTCCCC